AAGGCTGAGATAAATAAATTGAGGGAAGGTAATTTGCTTATAGTAAGAAAGTTAATGACATTTCAAAAATTACTTAAAAGGTAAGAAAATATTTTTTATTTCTTAAAAGAGAAAAGAACCTTGGTGGATATCAAGAATCTCGTAATCAATATATTATCACATGTCCCTTTAAATACAGTAAAAGCTCTTGAACACTTCAAGCATGAAATGTTTCCAAGTTCTCAAACTTTACCTTCTTAAGAGCCAAAATTTTAACCACTTCTTGGCAACCTGCCAAATCATAAACTCTATTTTCTTAACCAGTATGTGTGTGAAGGGGGTATCGTCTTATCTGTAGGGGTTCATAATTATAATCAGTTGTCACTACCACAGCCATGTGTCAGACTTCTCTAGCTTTCGCCTTTCTAATTATTGACAGTTAAGTGCCGCTTAACAATGGGGACACATTCTGAAAAGTGCAATTGCATCATTAGGAGACTGTACTGTTGTGAAAACCTACACTATGTGTTATAGCCTATTGCTCCTAGGCTGTAAGCCTGTACAGCATGTGACTATACAAAACAAGAGATTAAATCGAGCACAAGATAAAATCATGCACTCAAGAAACATGATATTCACAATATATATGATACTGCTGCCAGTTCAACACAGCATACTGCTTTATAGCAAACTTTTTTAATAGGTAGAAAGAGTACATTCTAAAATAACAATTAAAAGTATAGCACAGTAAATTATAACCCAGTAACATAGTTGTTTATCTTCTCAAGTATTATGTACATAATGGTATGTGCTATACTTTTATACGACTGGCAGACAGTGGGTTTGTTTACACCAGCATCACCCCAAATATGTGAGTAATGCATCGTCCTACAATGCTATGATGGCTATGACTTGAAGGCAAAAGGAACTTTTTAGCTCCATTATAATCTTACTAGAGGCCTGGTGCACAAAATTCATGCACGGGTAGGGTCCCTAGGCCTGGCCGGCGATCAGGGCCAGCCGGGGCCTTCCTTTCCTGGCTGCCGGCTGCTGGTTGGGGTCTTCCTTCCCTAGCTGCTGGCTGGGGCCTTCCTTCATTCCACGCCACCCCCTGGTGGTCAGCGCAGGTCAAGCAAGGAACCGAACTCCTGGTCTCCTGGTCGAACTCCCAAGGGGACACTTTGCATATTAGCCTTTAATAAATATAGATGGGACCACTGTCATATACACAGTCTATAGCTGACCAAAAAGTCATTATGTAGTGCATAACTAAACTTTAAAATGTGCTAAGTTAAACTTGTGTGCAAATTAAAAACTCTCAATATATTTAGACTGTGTTTTGGCTCACAGTATGGGTAAAATAAGTAACTTTCTGAGTGGCTAATAAACTTACGAGGTGTATTGGCTCTATACATATTTCATTAGTTTAAAGGCTATCTTTTATTTAGTTTCAGATTCTCAGCTCTAATACTGATGCTTTAACTAATATTTCAACTTTCCTTAATTACTTGTCAAATACTATGTCTTTGTTTACTTCAACATTCCATTTCTACAATTTTATAAACCAACAGGCTTACCTATTATAAATTCCTTGAAACTAAACATAGTTATAGAGAATATGCTTAACCTGGATTTGTTCTAGTGTCCTCAAGGGCAAGCAATTAAGCTATGGGCCATTTAGGCCACCACAGGTTCCATTATCCTGAATCTTTTTGCCCCAGGTAAGGTGGATTCTATGAAATACCTAAAGACTAAGTTAATCACTTTAAAGTCCTTACATGGCTTTTGTTTTAAATAACCAATGAACCCAAATTTTAGACCATGAAGAGATTGAAACTAACTTTGACTTTGGATATAGATACTTTAAGAGCATAAAAAAAGTTCAGGAATGTGTCCAAAACAAATATACTAGATTATTATATACCTTAACTTTACTTGTTCCTTACAGAGCACAACTTCTTCAATGCCTAAAATGTTAACGTGAAGATAAATAAATGAGTCCTTCTTTTTTGGTTCTTGATATCCATTCTGAATATTTCAGTAAACCTTTAGTACAAACTTTGAAATAGCTCAGCTGAATTTCTGAAAGACACATAAGACTAGGAAGATGATCCTGAATACATTTTGTACTGTTTTCTTACAATGTATATTTCCAACTGCTGTAAATCTCACTTTGATTTCTATTTTCCTATTAAACGTGAACATTAGCAAAATTTTAAACTATGGATCAATTTTTAAAAATTATTTTAATTTCAGGCTATCCCTTGAGGTATTTAGAAACAAATTAGCGTTCCGAATCCATGTCTTATATCAGACAAACATTGACACAGTGATTTAAATGAAAGAATATATAGGAAAGCCTTAGCATAAGGCCAGGCCAATTAGGAGACTCTGAATATAGACATTTATTTCCTAATCCTGAAATCCAAAGTAAACTGCATGCCTTCTCTTTAAAAACAGGAGGAGTTTTAGGAAAATGAGAAGAAAGAGCTTAATAACTAACAGTCATGAAAAAAACCCCACTAGTGCCCGGTAGGCGTGGCTCAATGGGTGAGCATCAACCTATGAACCTTTTAAAAGCAATTTGGCTTCAACAAAATGTTTATATCCAAAGGAATAACACAAAAGTAAGAAAATATTACATGCAAGAAAGGTTTTGATTGTAACACTATGTATGTTATCAAGTATCAGGAAGTCACAGTTTGGTCAGGGCACATGCACAAGTTGTGGGCTCGATCCCCAGTGTGGGGTGTACAGGAGGCAGCAGATCAATGATTCTCTCTCATCCCTGATGTTTCCATCTCTCTCCCTCTCCCTTCCTCTCTCTGAAATCAATAAAAATAAAATTTAAAAAAAGCAAACCCACTAGCAAATCTAAAATCTGATTCTATTTGTCAAAGCATATATATACTTTGAAACACATCTAATTTTTAACAGACCAATAAAAGATTCAAACTAAAAATTTAGTTCAAAGACCAAGTAATTTTGTTAACCAGTATTAATTTATTATATACAATGAATAATTTATTAGTAAATTGTGCTCTTCTTAATGCTCTATTTAATGGTTTATTTAACTGATTTGATGGCTGCTATCCCCATTAGGGATAACAAAATAATTCAGAATATTCTATTTATGCTCCACTTTCATGGTTAATTACTTTTATTTAAACAATACCATGACACCTCCATCCCACCCTCATCACAATTTATGGTAATACAGCAGATAAGTACTGTCTTTTAAAAGCAATTTGGCTTCAACAAAGTGTTTATATCCAAAGGAGTAACACAAAAGAAAATATTACATGCAAGAAAGGTTTTGATTGTAACACTATGTATGTTATCAAGTATTTTCAACTTTAAAATATTCAACAATTTAAAAACACAGATAAGTTTAGCACTGTCTAGTAGGGTTCACTATGTAGATAGTGCACACCTCTAGATACATATCCTAGAGAAACCTAGAACACATACACCGTAATAAAGCTTATGTTCGTGTGAAAGATGCATGTGGAGTGTAAGGAAGAATGGAGAATCGTGTCTATTTTATAAACTATAATTTTCATAGAGAAAAACACATACTCAGATTATGTGTTGAACTTCACAATTATGTAATCACTGAATACAATCTTATGAAAAGTACTGAATTGAAGCCTTTTACCCATCCAGTAATACTGCTTCTCTACTGGAAGCAAAAATCTCTATTTAAAAAAATGTAATCACAAAGCAAACCAAGATGCACTAAACTCATCACAGATGAAATCTTTAGTTGAGTGGCATAGAAAAATAAGCATTCTTATTTCGTTAGTCAATGCTCCTGCAAACAGAAATTTATAATTATATAAAATAATTAAACTAAAAATACTTTTTCCCAAACTACCGTTTCACCTATCCTCAGTCCCTTTCTGCCAAAGACCAGTCTAGGTTTTAATCTAAACAGAACTGTTTCCAAGTATACTATTATGAATTCAATTGGTACAAATCTTTTTTCCTTCTCCCAAACCTCAGCCATAGTCAGTATTCAGTTATGTTCTCCTTTCCACACTATTAATGAAAATATAAGTAAATCATAGAACTCCAGAATCCCAATTATGAAATAAGTGATTAACTCCAATGTGCTTAGGGACATCAAACAATTTGAATGTAACTAATGTTAAAAATATTTTTGAGATCTGCCTCCTTTACTAATATGTACACACTGACAAATAACCAATTCTGAAAACAGCATTATTAGTATGACAATAAATTTTTATTTCACAATCCATAACAATGGGTCTTATAATGAATATTCAATGTACCAGTACCATGATCTACTTAAGTAGGCCCAAACGGAGTCAACATAATAAATACATTAAAGTCTGAAATGTTCTGGTTTTTAATCATTTAAAATCTATGAAGAAATTCAGTAATATCTCTAACTCAGATTCTGAAATTAGTTCATACTAAATTAGAAAGTGAAGTTTTAAATTCATTTCTGCACCTTAAGCTATGAACCTTGGCCAAGTTATAGAATGCAAAAATCCAAATTTCCTCATCTGTAAAATGGAAGGACACTATTACATCTGCTCTGGTTATCCCACAAGGCTGATATAAAGAAGAAATCAAATAATCTATGTAAAAATTCTCTGAAAAATATAAAACACAAAGCAGACAGAAGATGTGATTATTAGTAATAAATAGTTATTATCCCAAGATGGTCAAGTACACTGAAGATGAATTACTGTATTCTAACAGAAAAAAAATAATCTGTTATGCTTATAAGGTTAAATTTCTTTTTTTAAAGATATGCATTTGATTTTTTTAATAAAAGAACAAAAAGTTGAATAAAAAAATAAAAGGAAAATATACTGACAGAATTAGAATAATACAGGGAATTTTTTTCCCAAAGTAAGGGGAACACATATTACTGTGAAATAATTTATGAAAGGCAATGTCATTTTAGATTAGGTGGAATGAAATCATGGTAGGAAACTAAAATATAATAACATTTAATATTTATTTAACATTTAATATTTAAAACTCACCTCTGCCCATTTAAGAATACAGGTCATACAGAAGACATGATTACAGCTTTCTGGAAAACCAACTTCCTTCCCTAATAGGCAATTAAGACATATTGGACATCTGTCAGCTTCACTGTACAACAAACCATTGGTAGCAGTATTATCTTTGTCTTCTTCACCTGTAAAGTAAAGCAGCCATATATGCTTTCAAGTTCTCCAGACCAAATGACTTATATCTGTGTCAGTATCATGGACTACTACAAAGTAATAGTCCTTTCTACTACAAAGTAATTCAATCTAGATACTTTACAGTAAATATACTCATTGAGCACAATACCCCCAATATTAATTTGTTTTTTAATAAGGAAGTGAAAATAATTTTTCATTCATTTAATTTTAAAATAATAGTGACATGGTTAAAAAATTTAGAAGTAAAAAAAAGATTATACTTGTAGTGACAAATCTCCCACTCATATCTACACCTAACTATCCAGTTCTACCCAATGTTTCAAAACTGTTAAGTTTCTTCTCTATCCTTTCAAGGATTTTTTAAATGCATAGACAAGCAAATCCTAATGCATGTCTTTCAAACCTCCTTCATACAAATGCTAGATCACAATAACACACCATTTGCTTTTGTTCGTTTGACCTACTGAATGTTCACTTATTTTTAACCTTTGGCTATTACAACAATGCTGCAACAAAAAACTTTGTCATTAAAAACTTTACGGTTTTTTTGTTTTTGTTTTTTTTTTTTAAATATATATTTTATTGATTTTTTACAGAGAGGAAGGGAGAGAGAGATAGAGAGTCAGAAACATCGATGAGAGAGGAACATCGACCAGCTGCCTCCTGCACATCTCCCACTGGGGATGTGCCCGCAACCCAGGTACATGCCCTTGACCGGAACCGAACCTGGGACCCTTCAGTCCGCAGGCCGATGCTCCATCCACTGAGCCAAACCGGTTTTGGCAAAACTTTACGTTTTTAATAGTACATAGGATTAAATTCACAAAAATGAAATTGTTAGATCAGTATGTATGTACATTTCTAATTTGAATAGATACACCAAATTATACCCCTTACAGTTTGCACTAATTTAAACACTCAGCCAGCCATGTAACCAACGTACAAAGTTACACATTGCTAACTTAAAATAAATACAGGAAACACCAAGATTCAACATAAAATAAAACAAAAATAAAGAAATGGTCAGCTGAAATATGAAAAGTATACACCACACAAATGGAAAATCTGGGATTGTCCTGGGAGCAAATGTCCGCACTAGTCTTCAGATCTGGAGATTAAGCCTTAGGACCAACCCAGGTGGGGAAACTGTTTCTGAGAGACTCCCATGTTAATCAAAGACCCTCAAAAGGTGCTAGTGGTTCCAGAATGGGTTAGGGAAAAACAAATACAACCTCTGGAGGAAGCATCCCTAATTTAGCCCTCCAGGATTCCATAGATTAAATTTACCAAATATTAGCTCATAATCAAACATTGCCAAACCCAAGAAAATAAACTACCTTGAGTAAGAATCTGCAGAATCTGCAGAAACAATAATTTATTTATTTTTATATTTATATATTATCTTTATTTATTATAAACTAGAGACCCGGTGCACGAATTCGTGCACTGGTGGGGTCCCTCGGCCTGGCCGGCGATCAGGGCCGGCTCACCCAGTCCCAATTGGGGCCAGCTGGCCGGGAGGGACCGCCGGAGGGCTCCAGGGCATGTCCGACCCTCTCGCCCGGTCCCAATGTGCCAGACCCCAGCAGCAAGTTAACCTACCGGTCGGAGCATCTGCCCCCTGGTGGTCAGTGTGCATCATAGCGACTGGTCAAGTGGTTGACTGAATGGTCACTTAGTGTCTTATCTGTCGGACACTTAGCATATTACGCTTTTATTATGTAGGATTTATTTAGATACACACTGGCTTTAAATATAAGAATTTTCAACTAATACATAGAATGCTTGAACAGCAGACTAGACCTAGAAGAAAATAATATTTGTGACTGGAAGAGAGATTTCAGGAAACTACCTAAGATTGTAAGAGACAGACAAGGAGATGTAACCTGTGAAAGAGAGGTTGGGAAATGAGGTCAGACCAAATTCTATAACATACTAATTGAAGTCTAGAGGAAAAGAATAAAGGAGAAGCAATGGCTAAAGCAGTAATGACTAGGAAATGATAAACAAAAAACAACACAATCCAACAGATAAAGGATACACAAGGTATACTTAAACAGGAGAAATGAAAATAATCCATGCCTAGAAACAATGTAGTAAAACTGTATAACATTAAAGATGAAAACGATATTAGCCCTAACCGGTTTGGCTCAGTGGATAGAGCGTCGGCCTGCGGACTGAAGGGTCCCAGGTTCGATTCCGGTCAAGGGGATGTACCTTGGTTGCGGGCACATCCCCAGTAGGGGGTGTGCAGGAAGAAACTGATCAATGTTTCTCTCTCATCGATGTTTCTAACTCTCTATCCCTCTCCCTTCCTCTCTGTAAAAAATCAATAAAATATATTAAAAAAAAAAAAAGAAAACGATATTAAAAGCAAAGAGTTAGAAAAGTCAGTTTATCTAAAAGGGAATGACAATTGAGGCTAAAAAGAGATTTCTAGACAATAAGAAAGAAAACAAAAAATGGCTAAATAAGTCATAGAAGAAAAAAAAAGAAAAGAAAAATAGCCGAACCGGTTTGGCTCAGTAGATAGATCGTCAGCCTGCGGACTCAAGGGTCCCGGGTTCGATTCCAGTCAAGGGCATGTACCTGGGTTGCGGGCACATCCCTACTGGGGGCTGTGCAGGAGGCAGCTGATCGATCTCTCTCATCGATGTTTCTAACTCTCTATCCCTCTCTCTTCTTCTCTGTAAAAATTCAATAAAATATATATTTTAAAAAAAAAGAAAAGAAAAATAAATAAGTGATAGGAGGGGGTAAAAAACTATTAATCCAGAATTGTATATCTATCTTTGAATAGTTTTGAAGAGAAAAAAATAAATACAAAAATCTAAGAGTTGATCACCATTAGACTTTGCAGAAAAGGAACTTAAGGTTTTTTCAGAAGAAGTAGAGAAAAACAAACCCCTCAAATACTATCTGTATCAAATATCATTTAATTTGTGATGTCCTGAAAAAAATAAACACAAGACACCAAAATGATGGAGGCTATAACCTATAAATCTAGAGTAGGATGATCACAGTTAAGTGTTCTAAGCTTAAAAGATTAATTTTAGAAATAGAGGAAAATATCAATGCTATTTAAAAAACAAAACAAAGAAAGTATGTAATTCCTAAAAGAGTAGGGAGCAAAAATTTAAGAAGAAAAAGGTCAAGAAACCAAAACCCTTGATCAATTGAAAATAAGACATGAGGGGGAGGGAGAGAATGTGTACACTCCTTATTCAGGCAGCTTATTTGAGAATTTAAGAACAAAATAAATAAAATAAAAACTTCTTGTGTATTTTGAATGTATAAAAATGAACAGTTTGAAAACACTAAGTTTGCTTTCAACATATAAGCTTTATAAAAATGAAAATTTACCTTCCATATCTTCATACTCCTGATCTCCCACATTTAAGGTATAAACAGTTTTTTTCTTCATTTCTCCTTGAAAAGGGGTTTCCTATAAGATGAATTATAATAGAGACTTTTAATGTATGCCTTCTCCCAATAATATAAAAAAAGACCCAAAACTATAAGAAATTATTTTACACATAAAAGAACATAGTACAAGCTGGTAAATTTTGTGGATAATCCAGTACATTTTTATACTCCTTGCCATCAAGTACACTGAAAGGAAAAGCCTTACATAAGTATTAACCAACAAAGACTAAATGATAAATTGTGTGTTCAGACATAAATACAATTGGAACACAGAAAAAAAGATAGCAATTTGGACTAGATTTTTCATTGAAGGTGATAGGTTATATATGTTGAGGAGTTCAAGGCAACAAAGAAACAACATAGTATAAAGGAAAAAAATAGTATTTACTAGGCCAATCTGACAAGAACAAGAGTGAATAAGTGAAACTGAGAGAGAGTGTGCGTGTGTGTATGTACTGAGGAAGGATGAGCATGTATGCCAAGAAGTTCATCAGAAAGATTACAATGAGGGGTAATGAGAGTAATAAGCAGAGCAATGTAAATCAAGTAGAATTAGATTATAGAGGTATCACTAATGGTTTACTAAGAAGTTTAAATTCAATCTTATAAAAAAAATAAATAAATAAATACAAAAAAAATCAATGAAACCAAGAGCTGGTTCACTGAAAGGATAAACAAGATTGATGAACCTCTAGCCAGGTTCACCAAGAAGGAGAGAGGACCCAAATAAACAAAATCAGAAATGAAAGAGGTGAAATAACAACAGACCCCACAGAAATACAAAGGATTGTGAAAAAAAATACTATGAACAACTATATTCCAACAAACTGGTGAACCTAGAAGAAATGGACATATTCCTAGAAAAATACAACCTTCCAAAACACAATCAGGAAGAATAAAAAAAATCTGAAAAGGCTGATAACTATGGAGGAAATTGAAGCAGTATTAAGAAAAAACTTCCAGCAAACAAAAGCCCTGGGCCAGACGGAATCACAGGGGAGTTTTACCAAACATTCAAAAAGGAACTAAAACCTATCCTTCTCAGACAATTCAAAAAAATTCAAGAGGAAGGAACACTTCCAAGCTCTTTTTTTAAAGACAGCATTACCCTAAACCCAAAACCAGATAAAGACACTACAAAGATAGAGAATTATAGACCAATATCCCTGATACACATAGATGCTAAAATCCTCAACAAAATTCGAGCAAATCAGATCCAGCATTACATTAGAAAGATCATACACCAAGACCAAGTGGATTTATTCCGGGGACGCAAGGATGGTACAATATCAGCAAATCAATAAACATGATACATCACATAAACAAATTGATAGATAATAATCACATAATCATATCAATTGATGTAGAAAAAAGCATTTGACAAAATCCAACACCCTTTCTTGATAAAAACTCTCAGCAAAGTGGGAATAGAGGGATCATACCTAAACATAATAAAAGCCTTATATGACAAATCTACAGCCAACATCATACTCAAAGGGCAAAAACTAAAACCATTTCCCCTAAGAACAGGAACAAGACAGGGATGCTCACTCTCACCACTCCTGTTCCACATAGTACTACTAGAAGTGCTAGCCATAGCGATCAGACAAGAAGAAGAAATAAAAGGCATCCAAATTGGAAAAGAAGAAGTAAAACTGTCATTATTCACAGATGACATGATATTGTACATAGAAAACCCTAAAGACTCCATCAAAAAACTACTAGATTTAATAAATGAATTTGGCTATGTAGCAGGATACAAAATTAACACCCAGAAATGTATGGCTTTTTTATACACCAATAATGAACTCACAGAAAGAGAAACAACAAAAACAATCCCATTTACCATTGCACCAAAAAAATTAAGATACCTAGAATAAACTTAACTAAGGAGGTAAAAGACCTGTAACTCGGAAAACTACAGGACATTGAAAAAAAGAGACAGAGGAAGACATAAACAAATGGAAGAATATACCATGTTCATGGATTGGTAGAATCAACATCATTAAAATGGCTATACTAACCAAAGCAATCTATAGATTTAATGCAATACCCATTAAAATACCAATGGCATATTTCACAGACCTAGAACAAACTCTCCAAAAATTCATATGGAACACAAAAAGACCCCGAATAGCCACAGCAATCTTGAGAAAGAAGAAGAAAGTTGGAGGGATCACAATACCAGATATCAAGCTATATTACAAAGCCACTGTTCTCAAAACTGCCTGGTATTGACACAAGAACAGACATATAGACCAATGAAACAGAACAGAGAACCCAGAAATCGACGCAAGCCATTATGCTCAATTAGTATTTGACAAAGGAGTCAAGAGCATACAATAGGGTCAAGATAGTCTCTTCAATAAATGGTGTTGGAAAAATTGGACAGATACATGCAAAAAAATGAAACTAGACCACCAACTTATTACACCATATACAAAAATAAACTCAAAAAGGATAAAGGACTTAAACATAAGATGGGAAACAATAAAAATATTAGAGGAATCCACAGGCAGCAAAATATCAGACATATGTCATAGCAATATCATTACTGATATGCTCCTAGGCAGTGGTCGGCAAACTCATTAGTCAACAGAGCCAAATATCAACAGTACAACGATTGAAATTTCTTTTGAGAGCCAAATTTTTAAAACTTAAACTATATAGGTAGGTACATTGTTATTAACTTAATTAGGGTACTCCTAAGGTTTAGGAAGAGCCACACTCAAGGGGCCAAAGAGCCGCATGTGGCTCGCGAGCCGCAGTTTGCCGACCACGGTTAGGGCAATGGAAACTAAGAAGAAAATAAACAAATGGGACTACATCAAAATAAAAAGCTTCTGCACAGCGAAAGAAACATACAGAAGGTCGAGACATATGAAAACATGCTCAAAGTCACTAACCATCCGAGAGATGCAAATCATAATGACAATGAGGTACCATCTCACACCTGTCAGAATGGCCATCATCAACAAATTGACAAACGACAAGTGCTGGGGATGTGGAGAAAAGGGAACCCTCGTGCACTGCTGGTGGGAATGCAGACTGGTTTAGCCACTGTGGAAAACAGTATGGAGTTTCCTCAAAAAGTTAAAAATGGAACTCCCATTTGACACAGTAATCCCACTTCTAGGAATATATCCCAAGAAATCAGAAATACCAGTCAGAAAGGACAGACATATGCACCCTTATGTTCATAGCAGCACAATTTACCATAGCTAAGATTTGGAAACAGCCTAAGTGCCCATCAGCAGATGAGTGGATTAAAAAACTGTGGTAGATCTACACAATGGAATACTACACTGCTATAAGAAGGAAGGAACTCCTACCATTTGCAACAACATGGATGGTCCTGGAGAGCATTATGCTAAGCGAAATAAGTCAGTCAGAAAAAGATAAATATCACATGATCTCACTCATTTGTGGAATATAATGAACAACATAAACTGATGAACAAAAAACAGATCCAGAGACAGAGAAACATCGAACAAACGGTCAAACTTCAGAGGGAAGGCAGGGGAGGGTGTGGGGGGTGGGGGGAAGAGATCAACCAAAGGACTTGTATGCATGCATGTAAGCATAACCAATGGACACAGAGACACAGACACTAGGGGGGTGAGGGCATGTGCTGGGGAGTGGGAGTGGCCAGGAAGAAGTCAATGGGGGAAAAAGGAGACATATGTAATATGTAATACTATATGTAATACTTTAAACCAGCGGTTCTCAACCTATGGGTCGCGACCCTTTGGGGGTTGAACGACCCTTTCACAGGGGTCGCCTAAGACCATCGGAAAACACATATATAATTACATATTGTTTTGTGATTAATCACCATGCTTTAATTATGTTCAATTTGTAACAATGAAATTGGGGGTCACCACAACATGAGGAACTGTATTAAAGGGTCGTGGCATTAGGAAGGTTGAGAACCACTGCTTTAAACAATAAAGAATTTAAAAAATTCAATCTTATAGATTCCCCTGAAGAAAACTGACATGATAAAGTGATGTAAATAATTATTTTAAAAGAATGATCTGCCAGCAAAGCACAGGATGGATTACAGTGCGGGGATACTAGAAGCCAAGAGATTTGCATAGCTTGGGTAACTGGCTGTGAAGTGAACAGAAAAGCAAGAAATTAAAGAGCTGGAAAACTTCTAAGATTTGATGACCAAATAAATACAGGGAAGGAATCAAAGATTATTCTGGCCTAGAGATCTAGAAAAATGGTGATTACAAGAGGCAAATGAGAAATGTGGGAATGGGAATTAATTTGTTAATCTTGGGGGACAAATGCATGAGGTATAAATTGTTTTTTAAATCAACTCAATTCTTTCTTGAATTGATGCAAGATATGACTGCAATGAACTATTCAAATACATTTTGGATAATTAGTTTCCTAAATAATTTACACATGCTAGTTTCTACATCTATTGCCCAGGAAAATTTTCTATTAGGTTAAATAAGAAGAAATGCAAAGGACTGATTTTGGGTCAAAAACTAACTGTAAAGTAGAAGATAAAAAATTTAGTAGCATATATAAAAATAATTTAAAGGTTTTAGTGGAATAAAAATTTGAAATGAGTTAGGATTAGAGTTACTTAAAAAGAGTCAATTCAATCACAGTCTACCTTAATAAAAGTAGAATGTCAAAAAGAAGATGCTGCACTCAGCCTACATGTGCAACATCTGTTTCAGTGCTGGTGCTGTTCTTTAGGGACAAACAAAATAATGAATGTCCAGGGAAGGTGACTAAAATGGTGGCAGCCCTGGAAATCATATCATATGCAGAAAGGTAGGGCAGTAAGAACCTAAAGATTAAGGAGAAGGTTAGCAGTTATCTCAAAATGAAATGGGCTGTTCTGAAAGGAGGTAGAATAATCTATCAATAAGGGTATTCAAAGATAGGCTCAATGACATATTGGAGGGGTTTTTTTAATTCAAAAATTTATTGAGGGCTATAGCCATATTATTAGGCAATGCCTTAGTACAGAACTAATTAAGACAGAAATTCCTG